CCGCCGCCGCTTCGACGCCATGAAGGGCTTGCTGAGAAGATGGCGGCTGCCGGCGGGGAACGGCCGGCCGTACGGCTGCGGTCCCCGGTACGGCGCCCCGGGCAGGGCGAAGCGGCTGCTGGTCTCGCAGCTTTTCCAGCCCTTCAACCTGCAGGCGGGCGACGAGGCGGGGTGGGAGGGCAGGGCCGGGGAGCCCGCCTGCCGGAGCCAGAAGCTGATGCTGCAAGGGGGGCTCGTCTACCCGTCCGGCCCCGGCTGCTACTACTACCTGCCGCCCGCCGTCCGCGCCATGGAGAAGCTGGTTAAGGTGGTGGACGGGGAGATGCAGGCGGTGGGGGGGCAGAAGCTGAACATGCCCAGCCTGAGCTCGGCGGAGCTGTGGCGCGCCAGCGGCCGCTGGGACGGGATGGGGCCGGAGCTCTTCCGGCTGGTGGACCGGCACCACAAGGCCTACTGCCTGGCCCCCACGCACGAGGAGGCGGTGACGGAGCTGGTGGCCGCTCAGAGCAACCTGTCCTACAAGCAGCTCCCGCTGCGCCTCTACCAGGTGACCAGGAAGTTTAGGGACGAGCCCAAGCCCCGCTTCGGCTTGCTGCGCAGCCGGGAGTTTTACATGAAGGACATGTACACCTTCGACGCCTCCGAAGAGGCGGCTCGGCAGACCTACGACCTGGTGTGCGACGCCTACCGCAGCCTCTTCGACCGCCTGGGCCTTCCCTTCGTCAAAGTGCAGGCGGCCACGGGCAGCATCGGCGGCACCGTGTCCCACGAGTTCCAGCTCCCGGCGGACGTCGGCGAGGACAGGCTGCTGCTGTGCCCCGACGGACATTTCGCAGCCAACGTGGAAACGCTAAACGGGGAGCGAACGTCTTGCCCCACGTGCGGGGAAAAACTCACCCAGACCAAAGGGATCGAAGTGGGGCACACGTTTTATCTGGGCACCAAGTACTCCTCCGTCTCCAATGCCGTCTTCTACTCACCCAAGAACAAACGCCAGCTGGCAGAAATGGGTTGCTACGGCCTGGGCATCACTCGCATCCTGGCGGCCTCCATCGAGGTGCTCTCTACGGAGGACAACATCCGTTGGCCAAGCCTCATTGCGCCCTACCAGCTCTGCTTCATTCCCCCCAAGAGAGGCAGCAAGGAAGAGGAGCAGGGAGTCACACTGCTGGAGCGGGTGTACGACGACCTCACCGAAGCGCTGCCCCACCTCGCCAGCGACTCAGTCCTGGATGACAGGACACAGCTGACCATTGGCAAAAGGCTAAAGGACGCCAACAAGCTGGGTTATCCCTATGTGGTCATAGCTGGGAAGAGGGTTTGCGAGGACCCCCCGGTCTTTGAGGTCTGGAATCAGAACGCTGGCGAGGTTTTGTTCCTTACCAAGGAAGGCATCATAGAGCTGCTGAGTAAAGTGCAAGTCCCTTAAACTCCCCGTCTCTGAATCTCTCATCTTTGCTACACTGAGTTTATCTGAACAGCCCTAGTTCCTTTCCAAGGACATGTGGGTTGTCGGCGATGGCTCCGGGTGAGCGGAGCCGAATCCAGCTCACATCAGAGCTGGCCACGGTGTCTTGCAACCGTGCCGGGTGCTGGGGTTGAGCTGGGGTCAGCCCGTGTTCCCCCGTGGGGTGGGGGGCGTTCCTCCATCTGGCTACAGGCCCCCGTGGGCCGCTTTTACCACCATGTGTAGCCTCGTGCAGCCATGGGAGCACCGGGGTCGGCCCCTCGCTGCCCACCCGTGGCAGACACAGCCTCTGTCAAGTGCATGCAACAGCTGAGGCCGCAGGAGGGAGGACGGGAGGGCTTTCCCTCGCCATTTTCAGGTGCTGAGTTCTTCAAATGAGGGATTTTAAGGAGAGGAAGGCGCCTTTCCTCCATTTGCGTCTTCTGTTTGGAGGCACCCAGGTGCCATGAAGGTGGAGGTTAATCTTAATTACAGCAAAATGGTGAACTCTAGAGCCTTGTTCACCTTGAAAATGCCATAGCGCTGCAAATCTGCAGGAATTAAGGTGAAGAATGGTGTCGGGCATCCACACCCCAGTCCTGCAGGTCAGTCCAGCTGGTGAGACGCCTGCATCAGCTGGGCATGGGTGGTGATGGCGTGGTTTTGGGAATGCAGCCTTCGGAGTGGTAGAAAATCCTTGCCAAAAAAACCCAAGGAAAGATGAAATTTGGGGACCCGCAAAGCCTGGGGATAGAAATGTCCGGGCCGTGTTGTATATAGGCTGTAAGTAACCCTGTCCGGCAGGACGGTGATGTCCCGCCGGTAGGTGCCCGCTGCAGCGTGGGGGCTTCCCCTGAGGATCCCTGAGCCTCCTGCCCTGGACGGGGTGAGCTCTTCGGAGGGAGTCCCCTCACCCCATGCCGCAGGTCCCGGGTCTGAGATCCACCATCGCCGGCGGTGCCGCGGTCCCGAGGGGCTTTGTGTCAGCCCCGCGCTCCCCGTGAGCCCCCTGGTCCTGAGGGGCTCCCCCGGTCCTTCCCCTCCCTCTCGCCGGCAGGGTCAGCTCCGCCTGCCATCCCCACGGGAGACGCCACCTAAGCTTGAAGCGGAACGCGGGCCGGAGGCCGCCGGGGCCGGGCCTGAGGGGGCGGTCGGCGGGCGGGAAGAAGGAGGGCGGGAGGCGGGCCGGAGCGGCAACA